TAGAGGAACCTAACTAATAAAGAAAAAAATTATTACCTATTATATTGTGGGACCTGCCCCACAAGATGGGTAACAGTTTAAAAGGTTACAGTATTTATGGGTTCAAAGACTAACTATTTTATTGGCTACATATATGCTACTGCTTTGCATAGCAAAACATTGCATTGGTGAACATACACATTCTCTAATGACACAGTCATTAAGAATCTGACTTGTCATTTCAAAAATGCTCAAAGACCCCTTGACGTAAATACTGTATTTATGGTAGTTATTTCCTTGTATGTGACTTTCTCGCCTGGGGATAATGGACCAGGGGCTTTATTTGTTGGAGTTTATTTCTACGCAGTGAATCATAGTTAAGTAAGTCTGTATCTCATATACAACTGAACAATAAAAAATATAGATATTCAACTGTTACCTATAAATGTGAACTAGAAACAAAATCACCATAATTTAGGGAAAAAATACAGGAAACCACATTTTGATAATTTTTCAAGAGCAATGAGTTAGTATTAAAATATTTTTGGACCTCAGTTTGGACTTCATCTCCCTATTCTACTAAGCAGCTGCTATTAAATACAAGGTAGCCAGCAATAAGAGCTAGTTTGGTCTAGTGGTTAAGACACCAGGCTAGAAACCAGGAGTTCTAGTTCTAATCCTGCCTTAGGTATGAAGGCCAGCTGGGTGACTTTGGGCCAGTCTCTCTCTCTCTCTCAGCCCAACTCACCTCATAGAGTTGTTGTTGTAGGGAAAATGGGAGGAGGAAGTATGTTTGCCACCTTGAGTTATTTCTAAAAATAATAAAGGTGGGATAAAACATCTAAAAAAAAAATACAAGGAACCACACTAAAAGCAGGAAAGAAATGTAGCATGATAATTCTTAAAGGAGTTGTCTGGCTTTCAGCTATTTGAACTAATAAAAAAGAATGTTGTCCTTCTAGTTTATGCACTATATATTTAAAATTGTGGTGTAAACTGTATCAAACCTTATTGTTATTATTGTCTGTCTTTGATGGCTTGTGCACTAGAGTGTAACTATTAATTAAGTATATTGAATGTACTGTTGTATGTTCAGTAAGAATCTTGTGAAATTACTTTAGCTCATGCCAATTATATGTTTATTTTCTTTGCAGGAATATCTTTACAAACTTAGATCATAAATGTGCTAAAGCATACCAACCATTACAGACTTCACTTCTGCAAATATTCTGGACTTCTCTGTGCCATGTTGTGCGACTGGTGTTCCATGAGGAATTTGTCTTCATGAAGATTCCTAATATTGGTAATGTGATGAATAAATTTGAGATCCTTGGGGTTGTAGGTGAAGGTAAGCATATATTTATGAATGAATTTAATTGGGATTTGTGAAGAGACTTGGGCATAACTAGAAAGAAGTGGGTGAGATGTTGACTACAGAATGCAATTTTTGTTTTGCCATGACTGGAAACATAGTTTTTCAAATAACTGATCACAACATGATAGAGCTACTGATGCATATAGTGTACACACATTTCTTTCTGGTGTTTGACCAAATTCTTGAAGTACAACCATAATCGAAATTCTAAATGACTGATATTTTAGTAAGAGAAAATAAAATGAATGGAACAGCAACTTTTCTACCATAGAGGCTTTAACTCTTAAAGTTACAGTTCTCTAATCTTATGAGTTTTCTTCCTTTGAAGCCTGGGAAAGAAAGGGCACACCCTTTTATATTTTGAAATATTCAAAAATCAAGAGATCTTGATTGCTTGTTCAACTGAGCTTGAAGCTGTATTATAATGCTGAGTTTCAAAACTCTCACAGAAGACTTTGTCGTCTCCACGCCTCTGCAAGCACGCATTTTAAAAATAATAATTTTGGTTCTTAACACAAATTCCATTTTTGGTGAGTCATGACTATATATTACGGATGGTGACAGTGGTGGATATACTGATGAAAATTTTTAATTCTATTTCATTTATCTTACCACTTAGGACATCTTGCTATTTATCCCTGAAAATTATGTATTTAGAGATGTTTTAATGTTAAAAATACCATTAGACTGTTTAAGTTTTCTAATTTATTAAAGCATTCTTGTTCACTAATACTCCTTAAAAGAGAAATTCTGGAATTCAGTCAGTTGTATCAACTGTTTTATGCTGCAGTCATTCAAAATTGGTATTTTTTTAAGATTAAGAAACATAGTGCTTAGACACCTGCATTATTCTCTGAAATTAAAAAAAAAGTTTCGTTGCACATGTACCTAATACATATGACCCCTTCTTAAAATTTATTTTATATTGAAAATATACAAACATACACATGCAGTTAGTATACATTCAATTAAACATGGTGAGGGAAGAATGTCGAGCCTCTTAAAAATCCACTAGCCAATTTTCAGTAATAGCTAATAAGTCTAAGAATAAAATGTTACAACATTTTGCCCAAATAATAATCTCTGCTGCTGTTATTATATCCTGCCTTTTAAAATATATAAATAATATTTTCTACAATGCATATCGAAATGTTGAAATTTGACTTATCTTTTTTTTTTTTAATTTTGTGCTATAGGAGCCTATGGTGTTGTACTTAAGTGTAGACACAAGGTAAGTAAAATTATCTACAAAATTATCTTTGTTATCTGTGTTTCAGTTTTCTTTTCCTATTAGTATAATTGAGATTAAAGTAAATTGCCAGTATAACAACATATCAGACCATGGTTTGGTTCCATATGCCTGCAAGTTGCCCTGGCTTGTGTACTTTTCATTATGAATGATAAACTGTTTCCTCCCTTTCCTTGTTTAAGGCAACCTATAGTTTGGTCCTCCATAGTTTTTACTTAGTCTCCTGTTGTCATTAGTTACAATTTTGTTGAGATTGGCAAATTATTATTTGCTTCAGAAGAAAAGAAATTTGCTTGTAAAGAAAAGGGAGCTCCTTGAAAGCTCATTTTCATTGTGACAAACTATAGTTTGCCTTAATCTGAATTAACCAACTCTGCTGTAGAGAATTGCATAGAAAGTGTGGCACCTAAAGGATGTTTTTTTCCTATTAAGCTAATTGTTTTTTTTTAAACCAAGTCTGAAAAACAAGATGCTTTTTAAAGTTTTGATTCAAAAACATGAATTGCTACTTTAAAACTTGAGCTAAATTAGTATTCCCTTATTTATGAACAATAAGTTTAGGTTTTTTGTTTCATTTTCTTTATAAAGTATAAAAATAATATTAATCTGTAGTCTCAAACTATAGAAAAGTATGAAAAGCTTTTATTGTTTAGATAAAAATCTATTGTCTGAATTACCCAGAACCTATTAAAAAATGTAGTTACTTACTTGAAGATCAACCTGAAGATTAGCTGCTGCTTGAGAGGGGGCTGTTTGCCTGGTGAATTTACTATTTCTGTAAAAAGGTTACTATTTCTGTCTTTCCCTATCATGTTACCTCTTCCCATCGCCTCATCTTATTCCCTGTTTCTTTTCCTTCTGTTCCCAGTACAGTTATCTCCCACTCTTAATTTCTCATCATCCTGTTAATTTTCTTTTTCTTTTTCTTTTTTTTGCTGAACTGCATCTGCATGTGTGTGTATGCTTACTTATATATCTGTGTCCAAGAGTGTTTTGTGTGTAAGAGAAAGAACAGCTGATACATGCAGATAATAATGTATTAAATTTATATGCCACCCAACTCTCAGTGACTCTGGGCAGCTCAAAACAATCAAAGAAATTACAATAAAATCAACAAAACATAACAAATAAAGATAAAAGATGGCAAGCATGATGAAGTGAGGGGTTTCAGTCTCCATCACCGAAGGCCTGGGTGAAGAGCCAGGGTGAATCAAGTAAATATAAGTGCATCCTAAGTCACAGAACTTAATTTTAATTAGCAATTATTAATTGGGTTAATATATGTTTTTTATCCTAGTCCCCTTTGATACTTCCTTCCTTCTCCTTTTTTTCTTCTGTTCTCCTTGCGGTGTTGTTTCTGGTGGACATGTGTAAAAGCTTATATATGGATACATTAATTGGGCACAGGGATCTCCACAATTGTAAGCTGGATTTGTCAACCCTAGATTATTATGGTAGGATTCTATAGGATTTTTGTTAGTGGTCATTCATTTTCTTCTGTCTACTATTTTGGTGGAAAATAAACCTGAATATAAGCTCATCTTTCTTTTGGATAAATACAAAATAGTATTATATTACTGTATGTATTTTGCAAACAGAATGGTCACAAGTGTCATCCTGATTTCAGTTGGATTCAGTTCAATAATACTTGGTAAATTAAGACCATTGTGTATGATAGTCCTTTGGGTTCGAAGAAGACACACTGTTGTGCAGTTCATCTGTGGACACAGGTGGCTCTGTAGTCCCAGTCTGGAAGCACAGAGTCTAGCACAATGGGGGAAGTGGAAGTCCATTGTTGTAGTAACTGTGGGTGTTATTCTGGGATGCTGCTCACAGCTTTCTGTCAGTTTTTGCGGGGGCCTGTCTTCAAACCCGGTGGAGGCTTCATAGCATAGGGCTCGCCAGCAGGTTCTGTCAGCAGCTGCAGCTTCTAATTCCCTTGGAACTAGAACTAACAACAATTGAATTGTCTATGTTTTATTTAAGAGATTTTATACCACTTCAAACCCAGTTGGCTCTAAGCAGTTCACAGTTGATAGAATGCAGTTGTGCAGTGATTTCAACTCCTCTTGTTTTCTTCTAGCCTTGGTTCTAGCCTTACAGTATGTGTAGCCTCTATAGCAAAACTAGGCATGAGCCTTGATTGAAAACTCTAGATAATATATTTACAGTATTCATATATTCATGAATATTCATATACACATTCAAGAATATCTAGAATTGTGTACCCATCATTTATTCAGGGATCTTGCCCAAGAAAGGGATATTTGCTTTGAACAATAGGTAAACGCAAACAGAAAACTTTTTATAAGTACTAGTGGGCATCAAAGTTTAATGTTTAGTGATTTTTCCTAATGTGTAAGTCATTACATGGAAAAAATAGATGGTTTCCTATTCGAAAACATGTTTAATGTTTAGTGATTTTTCCTAATGTGTAAGTCATTACATGGAAAAAATAGATGGTTTCCTATTCGAAAACATGTTTAATGTTTAGTGATTTTTCCTAATGTGTAAGTCATTACATGGAAAAAATAGATGGTTTCCTATTCGAAAACATGTTTAATGTTTAGTGATTTTTCCTAATGTGTAAGTCATTACATGGAAAAAATAGATGGTTTCCTATTAGAAATAAAAATAAAATCTTTTTTGAATCAAGCTCGACTCTTCATGACTTTGGTCTCCCAACCAAATATTAATATGATCTGACCATGCTAAACTACTGAAGATCAGTCTGGATGATCAATTGTCACTTTGCTGGGCGTTTTCTTATAAGAACCAGTATTAAAATTATTTAAATAATTCAATTGCAAAAGAGGGAGGACTAGACTTTTATGGAAATTTAATGTCAAGCTTTTGTGCTCCCTGTAGAGTGTACGAGCAGATCTCCTGACTTAATTAGGTTACCTGCTCAAAAGTTGTGAGAGAACTAGAGGCCAGTAAGGTAAAGCTGATAAGCACAATATAGGTAGGAGAGTCAGGAGCGATTGCCCCAGCATTGCTTCGTTAATTTGTATAGGTATATCTTTGCTCACATTTTGTCTCCTTTCCCTTTCTAGGCAGGGAAATCTCAGAGATTGTTGTACCCACTCTGCTACAAAGGCACTTTAAGAGTAATGTTCACATTTGAACTCATTTTTAAAAATCCAATTAGTATTTTTAAAATCTGGTTTAGATTTGTTTTAAATTGTTCGTTCATTTTTAAAAATTCATCCTTTATAGTAATATGTACTGAAAAGATTTGCAACAATAGAAATAAAACTTAAAATGATTGATAAACATTTTTATACAATTCTCTTCCTTGCAAGTATACAAAACAATAGCAGAAATAACTTAATCTGTTCAGTTGATCTGAAAACTACCAGCAAGAACAAAAGCCTACCCCTCCAAGCCGAAACTAAATAATTTTAAAATAATTTGGTAGAAAACCATTCTCCACCTTAAAAACTGTTGTAAAAGTTCTACTTCAACTTGCAACTCTATCTGCAGCACAAAATGGGATCAGATATTTACTAGCTAAAAATATGGGTGTCCTTTCTGGTGAACATTTTTTTTTTTTTAATTTTCTAGGAGACACATGAAATTGTGGCGATTAAGAAATTCAAAGACAGTGAAGGTACTTTTTTCTATTTGCATATTGTGCATATATTTTTTTAATTAATGGGGTCTTATCCAAGATTTGGGATAATATTGGAATAGGAATTTAAGAATTTACTCTCATGTGTCAAAATAGCAATTGTGAATGATCAGGGTGTTATTTCAAAACATCTTGGATAGATGCTCAAGATCCAGTCCTTAATTTATATAATATTAGAACTGTAAGCTTCTTACATGTCTGTATTTGTTCAGACCTGCCTTTCTCAACTTGGCACCCTCCAGATGTGTGAGATGAAGTAATGAACACTGAATTTATTAATGATGCTTCCATCTTATTAGAAAATACAGTCTGTGTTTTTTAAATTGTTTTTACTATGGCATTAACATGTTTCAGCCAGATTTCACTATGATTTGATTCTACTGTATATTCAGAATAACTCTGAATAATCTGAAATGTTTTCTGATAAGCAATTTATCGCATATCTTAATAGCTGAGTGTGGTGCATTGTCTACTCTGTGTTACATACATACCAGCACAAATGTAATTCAGGAAAAACAGCATGACTTAACATGTAGTTGAACTGTGGATGATTCTATATTCTTGAAGTAGTAATAACTAGCAAATAATATGCCCTGATTCTGGTTTCACAATTAAATGTTCTGAAGAGGATCTATTGCTACGAATAACAAATCTCTTTCATTTTGCATTGGACATGAAATGAATTACAAGAGTATTTCTTTTTCTCAGTCCTTTCATTTGCCATAGCTGCTGTGTATCGCAAATTGAATATTTATAGTCTATGGACTGGGACTAATGGCCTAATTCCAGGCTGTTGGTTCCCCTCCTCTGAATTGCTATTTTCACTGTAAAAGCATGACATTAACATTCACACAAATTATCTTCCTATTTAGTCTTTATTCTCTTGATTTTACTTTGGCTTGGTTTTAGAAACCTTAGCATATTAATTCTTATAAAAGGAGTTTATCCTCAGTGTAACAATGTTATTTTTAGTATGGTTACTCCAAATTAATTCTCAGTACATAGAGCTGTTACAGCTATTGTTCTAATATATATGTATAGCAATATTAGTTACAGTATAACTAAGCCAAAGATCTGAATTCAATGCAGTATCCAATTTGGGATGATATTTTGCAGCAGCAAGTAGGCAGTTATCTATTGGCCTGGGACGATAAACAAACAAGAATTTACATTTTTCTGGATGATATATTTTCTTTTTTTAAAAAAGCCAAGAAATTCTTTCTAAGTGCTTTTATTCCAGGCAGTATTTTAGAGTAATACTTATCTAACATGGCTCAACAACATTGGAAAAATAAGGGCAGCTGAAGAACAATAGTTTGGGGGAGGAAGATAGTTTGAGGGATGTTTAGTCCTGCTCTGCTATAAAAACATTTGTTCTTATAATATTTAATCTTATAATAATATACTGAATATATAAATTGTTATGTAGTATGCATATAACTTTCATTACTAATAGTATTTATTAATATATAAAATGTAATTCTTGAAATAGTATATCATAATGGATAAAATGTTGTAATATCATAACATTATGTAATATTGTTGTTTTTCCATCAAAGTAATAGTCATATCTCACTATGAAATAAGTATTAACAAATAGTGTACAGTATTTTTGCATTTTTATTTAAAATTAAACAAGGGGAAAAGCAATTCAAATTATATTTTTCATAATTTTGATGGATATTTTAAATACTCAAATTATAAGAATTATGAATATTTATAGCTCAGGTGTAAAGCTAAGTGATTTGTTTGAATAATCCAGAGTGCTTGAATTAAGACAGATGATTTAGCCAAATGACTGCTTCCACTATGCTAAGCCAAAGTGAAAGAAACTGCATTATAGTACAAAATTAGTATAAAATGTATGTATGAAACTTGCTTTTTATGTCAGATTTTGAACAAGGCTGTTTATGCTGACAATTTGTTTCTAGGGGAGTATTTAAAGATTGATTAATTATGTGCCATCAGGTCAGTGTCAACTCTTAGCAATCACATGGATAGATTTTCTCCAGGTTCTGGGAAAGGAGATGCACACATTTTACAACTTTTCACTCTAACTTGTAGAAAATGAAGAGGTCAAAGAGACAACTCTACGAGAACTTAAAATGCTTCGTACATTGAAACAGGAAAATATTGTAGAACTAAAAGAAGCTTTTAGGAGAAGAGGAAAACTCTATTTGGTGTTTGAGTATGTAGAGAAAGTAAGTTATTTATTTAGAATAAAATGTTAAGATGTTCCTTAATACAAATTACTAAACTTTAAACATGTTTTATGTATAAAAAAGTTATACACTATAGTTTGTATTCTATAGCATCTTAATTTTTCTTTCTGATCAACCTAAAACTTGACATTGAAGGGGGAAAAAAAGATAAGATTATAATATCCTGCTGCACTTTATTTCTTTATTTCTGAAAATATCCTTCAACTATATTTCACTTTTATCACTGGAAAGTAAATATTATTGATTTTAGAAATTGAGTAAGGCATAGCTTGTTTAAATCTAGTTTCTTGATTAAGCAGTAGTTCTCTAGCTTTATGTAATAAGCGAAAGCACAAACTAGGGTTTATAAATACAGTGGTTAAGCTGACACAACAGCTAAACCAAACTCAAGCACATTGTCCTAAGGGTGATCTGTGAATTTAGTTTATGCATTTTCTTAAAACTGATTGGATTGCCCTATAGTTGGTGTACAGGTTTGCAACATAATACCGTCTCTAATGGTTGCTGGTTTTAATAGATAATATCATTTTGCTGCTTTAGGTTTTGTTTTGCTTTGTTTTAAGCATTGGTAGCATTTTGTTGCTTTTAGAAATTATTTTTACTTGCCTCTTGTATTTTATAAATTATCTGATCATGTTGAATGCTGCTTTTGGTTCTTTTTGTATAGGAGGACAGTATTACTTGCATGCAAGCACAGACCTTAGCCATTAATGGTTGTTTGACCATTTCAGGATAGTTGTTAACATTAAATTGCAGTTTCATTTTCAGTAAAGTTAGGTTACTGTTTTCATGTCTGTTGAATAGTGTTTCACCTGCCTAATTATTTGCAAATGCGTGATACTACAAAGAGTTAGTAATTTAGTTCTTTTTGTCTTTATGTTTAACATAGAATATGCTTGAGTTGCTAGAAGAAATGCCAAATGGAGTCCCACCTGAAAAAGTAAAAAGTTATATCTACCAGCTAATTAAAGCAATTCATTGGTGTCATAAAAATGATATTGTTCATAGAGGTGAGTAAACATTATATTTTTTTCCACATCCTGAAGGCATAAATAAGTTTTTAGCAAGGAAGGTGATTTTACCAATTATTGTAAATTTACTACCTATTTGTTAATTTAAAATAATACATGGGCATACTTTTCCTTACCGTAATACAGTATATATATTTGTACTACTAAATTAAAATTGATGGGAATCAGTTAAGATATTCCACTGATTTTAATGGGTCTAAATAAAATACTCTTTGTGAATAAATTGTAATTTCCATTTTGCTCATGCCTCTTTATCATTAATACATTTCTTTATTCGGATGATTCCTTATAAATGTGTGTGGCTTCACTAAAATATATTCAGAAATTGAATTAATCAGTTAATGAATTTCAGATTTAAAAACTAAGTATTTTCCCTTAGACTAATATTGAGGTTTCTTTCAGTATGGACATTTAGTTAAACTTGGTAACTCTTATGCCCATATACTATTGTATAGGTTCTCCTATATTCATGGTTCAGTAACTTCTGGAAGTAGACAAGACATTATCTACTAAAATTCATCAGTTCGGCTGTTACATCACATTATTGCTAAAGGTTCCTTACAAAAATTTTCCTAAATTTGAAAAAGAACCAGTTCGATGTAGTGGTTAAGACACTGGCCTAGAAACCAGGAGATTATGAGTTTTAGGTGTCCCTTAGGCATAAAAACCAGCTGGGTGACATTGGGCCATCTCATAGGGAGATATTGTGGAACTAAAATTAGAGAAACCCTCCCTCCCAAAATATGCCATTTTGAGCTTTTGGAGAAAAGGTAAGATATAAGTTCTGTAATATTTCAGTTGCCTGTTAATGCAGAACAATGTATATGTGATGATTTATTAAATTTTTCCTGTGCATTTGATATTTCAGATATTAAGCCAGAAAACCTCCTAATAAGCCACAATGATATTTTGAAATTGTGTGACTTTGGTAAGGCTTTTTAAAATATATATATATTAAAGGGATATCTTTATTGCTGCTCTTTAAAATTTATTTTATGACAGCAAATGACCTTTTTAATTATAGGTTAATAAAGTATTTCTATGGTATAGATTTAAATATGTTTTCTAATTTGCTTTAACTTTAAATAGATACACGTCCCTCAGAAGAAGTTGGGACATATATCAATTCTATTGTATCAATATGATATAACTCTTTAAGCTTTTCTAAAATGCTTAAATAAAACTAGAGTATTTTTCTGCATAGGAAGTGTCTCAGCTCTACAGTGATTAATAAACAGCTGTTCATGAAATAGGGGTAAAGGTTGGGGTCAATATGGAGTTGTGGTAAGCATAAGAATTAAAGAAGCTTGTGATCATAGTTCTGTGTGAAAACCTTTAATATGTATTGTGTTGCTTTTATTAGTTTAATTAAATTGCTCAGCTTAAACTTTGCTCTACAGCTATAGTTGAATCTTATATTTTTAAAAGTTCTCTGCATTTTCGTTCATTACAATGCAGAGAAATAAAGAAATATCAGAAGTGGCATTTTAAAAGCCTTTTATTGACAGACAGCCTAAATACGATGGGTGGGTTTTTAATGTATTATTATTTAAACCTTATAAAAGTAAGCATGGAAAATAATTATATCTTTGAATATATATTTGGTGTTTGATATAATTTTCATCAAATCTCAGTATTCTATCTGATTATCCTAGTTCAGTGTTCTAGACAGTAGTGTTCTACTGGTTATCAATATTTATAGTATTACTACTTGCAAATGCAGTTTTCCTATTTGGAATCAGTATCTGTATAACTAAACAAGCAAGAAATGTGTTTGAATTCTTAGTATTTTCCCTAGTATCTTATCTTTTAGAGCAGTGTTGTCCAAACTTGGCCACTTTAAGATGAGTGGACTTCAACTCCCAGA